TCATCGTTCTGTGTTCCCTTCCAATAACTTCTTCCCAATTCATGCATAAAATTGATACAAAGATAGTGCTGTTCATCATGTGTGAAAAACAACACCTGTTTTCAACTTCTTTGTACCTGCGGTAAAATTACTATATTCTCCTTAATTGTCTAAAAGCAACTACTGTTAATACTCAACATCCCTGCAGATTTCTAAAGAACAAAGCAACTCTACTAGGCTTCAAAGGATGGTGCCAATATATACAATGATCCTTATTCATAGGGATAAAATAATGGAAGACACTGCACTCTGAGGGAGCCTACCATTGTAATCTCAGTGCTTTAAGTAGGAATAAGTAGATTTGGAAGAAGATCAAAGCATTGCCTTCTGCTCAGCATGGGAGAATTAGGAGTGGTGCTGCTAAGCTTGCTTCTCCAAATTGCCAGCAAGACTGCAGCTGAAAAGTGCAAACACCATGAGCCACAGTATCCGCTTCATGAGTACCCACACCTGGGTGATCTCATGATTGGTGCCATTGCTTCTCTGTCCTCCTTCGTTCCTGATCCGTTAACCTTCACCGGAGAACCACCACTGGAATCACTGGATGAACTTGTGTAAGGAGTTAATAATTTGATTTGTTTCTAGTAGTTAGTTTGTTTCTCAGATTGCAACCTGAACTTGTAGAAGATGCAGTCTGGGAACAATGACTTGGGCAGTAGATGAAGTTCATATTATGAAAGGAATGTTGAAAATTTGTCATTTGCATGGACGGAATGATGCATTTGGTAAAGATCACAATTACTTTACTTCTCCTTGAAATCTCTGTCGTGACCTTGCATATTCCATGAATTCCTCTAATACGTTCTGTATTATACCAGTTTCTCCAGGATTTCTCTTCCCCTTATGACTCTCTTAATGCACCTGCTCATTCACATCTCTCGCTTTTTTCCACCTACTGTTATGGAAACTGTATAATGCCAGTATGCAAAGGATTGGATCTACTGTTCTGGGGAAGTAGACTTCTCTTTCCCTTCCTTTACTCAGCAGCCCCTTCAGGCACCCTACAGATCGATCTGGTTTGTGGCAGGATAAACAGAGGGGGATCCCCAAACTCTGATGAAGACATTGTCCCATGTGTGAAGCCCTTTCTGTCCTGCAAATTCCATTCCTTCTTTCTAGGGAAGGCAGGTACAGGATCCATCCCAAGACAAATGTTCACTCTTTGCATTGGAAACAAGTGCATGTCCCTTTTCAATGGAAAGGGATTCCATTCAGTGTAGTGTACTCTGTAGTCCTTGCTTGGCCCCACCAAAATCATTTTAACTGTTTTCATATAGCAAAAAGATGCTCCTCCTACCTGTGGCTATAATAAGATCAGATGTGTATTCCAATTCCAAACATGCCCATAGCTCAACATGTCCATCTAATTAAAATGCAGGGCATTCCTCTAGCACTGTGCCTCACACGTTGCATGGGATACTCAGAAGCATCTTCCTTGGCAAGGTGATGAACCACTGCCATAGGGGTGATGGGATCCTGACATTATGTATTGACACATTTCACTTGGAAGGAAGCTTCAATGGATTCTGGTGATTTCTATCTGAATTGACATAAATCTATTCACACCAATTACTGTGTTACTTTTGTGTTGGCCAAAGTAGGTCATGAAGTTGAGGAGGTGATGATGATGATGCAAAAGGCAGTGTGAGTGTCTTACAAGATACTATGTTTGGAATGTTCTCATGCAGGAGGTGACTTTCTTGCTTTTAGTGTGCTGCCCAAGAATTACCAGCATATCCTGGCCTTGGCATTTGCAGTGCAGGAGATCAATGACAACCCTCACATCCTGCCCAACCTCACCTTGGGCTTCCATGTCTATGACAGCCATTACACGGCCAAGTGGACATATCAGGACACCTTGCGACTGATGGGCGCAGCAGGGAGATTAGTCCCTAACTACCAATGCGGCATCCAGCAACACTTGGCAGCAGTCATCGGGGGACTGGATGCCCTAATCTCCCTTCACGTTGCAACACTCTTGGATATCTTCAAGATTCCACAGGTGGGGACTTTGTCATTCCATGAATATGGGAAATGGGATTGTAACATTTTCTTCACATTCACATCGTTCTTACATGGGAACATTTGTGCTTTGGAGATGGAGAGTTGTACATTGGAGTAATCATATTCTATGGCTCCTTTGGATGAGCAAGAACATTGAAGGTGAAACAAACTATATGGGGAAGGGGGAATTTCCGCTGGGGCTATGTTCCTTTTTGCAGACATGGATCTCAGACAGGAGGGTCTGGGCAGAAGCTCAGACCACATTCACATGAGCATCCCAATCCATTTTGAAATGCTATGGACACTCCTCATTTTCCTTCCTCCTTCCTCCAAACTTCCCTAGGCAGAGCTGGGAAAGACAGAGCACTGCATTTCTTTCTCTCTTTTGCACAGTGCTCTGCCTTCACCACCAGCTTTGATTCTGAAACATTTTAGGGGAAGGTGGAATATTTGAAGAAGGGAGCCAACGAAGAGGAAGCAGTTAGTCCTGAATATCGCACTGCCTAAAAAATAATAGCGGTAATCCACCAGGCAATGCTTGAGGATATCCAAAGTATATTTGTTTCCATCATTGGTTCATGGATGAAATGGCTTCTCTGTGCCTTCTTTTTGGGTAAAAGACGGATAGAAGGAATGGAAAGGGAAGGGGGGATCAGTCATCCATCTGGCAATGACTGAGGACCTCCAAAGTATACTTGTTTGCATATTTGGTTCATTCCATTGAGGCCTAGGATTATTGCTAAGAAGTTGTGTGCTTGTCATACAAGTCTCAGAAGAAACATTGAAACACACATATAGTACAAAAAATAATATGGTGTCCCAAGGTGCCACATTGTAGACCCGTTTTCAGGACCACATGGAGGTGCCCACATGTGCCATGACATGGGATCCCAGTATTATAGTTCAGGGATCTCAGTATTGTTGAGAAATTGCTGAGGTAATATATGCAAAAGTTTTGAAAATATCAAAGCTGTCTGAGGAATTTCTCTAAATATTTTCTCTTTGAAAACATCAAAGTTGTCTAAAGAACTTCTCACTCTCCCCATATTATCTTCTTAGCTGATATACGGCTCTGCACCAGTGATGAACAATAAAACCCCAGGGCTTCCCTTCTACAACATGACCCCAAGGGAGTCTCTTCAATATGCAGGGATCCTCTCTTTGCTGCTGCATTTTGGGTGGACATGGATTGGGACACTCATTACAGACAATGACAATGGGGAGAGATTCCTTCAAATGGTGTTCCCACTGTTTACCGAGAGTGGTGTCTGTTTTGATTTCATTGAAAAAATCCCTGAATCTACTTTTGGCCCAGATCAATTAAACGTTCTTGAGAAGGGGGCAAAAATTCATGATAAGATTGTGCACAGTACAGCAAACGTATTGGTGGCTGATGGAGAATCTTATTCCATGGCATTTTTTAGATGGTTACCGTATCTATCAGAACAAGGAGATTTGACAAATGTACCAATTGGTAAGGTAACGGTTGCACCAATTGGTAAGGTAATGATTTCAACAGCTCATGTGGAGCTCACATCATTTGTCTTTCAAAGGAATTGGAACGCAGACATTTTCCATGGTGCACTGTCTTTCAGAATTCAATCCAATGATGTCCCAGGATTTGAACATTTCCTTAATGGAAAAAACCCTTCCAGTCCAAAAGCAGATGGTTTTATCAGGTTGTTCTGGCAAAATGCTTTCAGCTGTGTATTTCCAGATCGATTTCTGGGTAACTTAGACAAAAATATCTGCACTGGGGAAGAGCAAATGGAGCATCTTCCTGCACCATTTTTTGAAATGCATTTGACCAGCCACAGCTACAATGTCTACAATGCTGTCTATGCGGTGGCCCACAGCTTGCATGCCTTGTCTTCTTCTCGTCTGAAGTACAGAGGAATGGTGACCAGAGGTGGGATGAATTTTCAAACTCACCTACAGTGGCAGGTAATGGGCTGCGTAGCCTCATTTGGGAGAGAACCACAGCTTTGTAGATTAAAAAAATACATACAAAATAGGGACGCTCATACGCTCCATATTTGATCTAGAGGATCAAGTCTCTTTTTACAACAAACAGCAAGGTCTTTGAGAATGTGTGTGTGTGTGCAAGAACATTAGAAATATTATCCCTCACATTAAATGCACTACTAGAATGACTTGAAAATCCACTCAAACCTCCAATGCAATTTAATCTAACCTTTGAACAGAAAGTGCCTAGCTTAAACTTGGTTTTATAATATAAGGGGAATGAGACGAAAGAATAAGCAAAATGGCATCAATTTAGTGCAAGTATTTCACCCTGTCTGCATGATTCCATTTACTCTTTTTCTAATCTCCTTCCTTTTCATTCCAGCTCCATCATTTTCTGAAGCTTGTTTCATTTAACAACAGTGCTGGGGACAAGATTTCTTTTAACAAGAATGGAGAGTTAGTCACTGGGTTTGATGTGATCAATTGGATTGTGTCCTCAAACCAATCTTTTCGAAAGGTGAAAGTTGGGAGGATGAATGCCGAGGCTGCTCCAGGCCAAGCATTCACCATCAGTCCAGATGCCATAACATGGAATGGCTGGTTCAATCAGGTCTGGTTCTACACTTTTCCAGTACAGAAATTGGCATCATCGGAAACAGAAATTGCAATTTGGGTAGTACATTGATTTTTACACTGAAAATTGTTCCCAGTTATGATATATTAATTTGTTCCATTCTTACAGATCTTTCTGAATCTTCATCCATGTTGTTTGGTAATTGTCAGGAAATCATGTATCTTTTTGCCCTGTTACAACCCCAAACACTTGACTGAATTTTTACTTATTTCACATCCTGAAATCTTTTTTAAACTTTCCACTTCTTGTTTCTTTGTAAACATTAATATAATACACATTTTCTTCTTATTAATCTTATATCCTGAAGGAAGTCCAAATTTCACAATTTGCTGTATTGTGTAGGGGTAGATTGATGTGGATTTAGAATGGCCAAGACTATATTAGCAGCATAACATTTTAATTTTATATTCTTCTCCATCTCCTTTTAAGTCTTCAGTTTTTGAAGTTTGACTTCTCTTTTTCACAAAGATTTCCAATACAAGAATAAATAAAAGAGGCCATTAAGGGCATTAATAAAAAAAAGATGCTATATGTCTGGGAGAACAAGGGGTTAGGCATTCTCAATGTGAAATTTTATCATATAGCTAATCAAATGAGGCATATACCAGATATACTGCAACCAATAAGAGAATATGGGGTAAATTAGGATATCAAGATGTATGGGGATCCTTATCAAATATTTTTCTTCAACAAGAAAGTAAGAATCTTATTAAAAAAAGATAGGAAACACTTTTTTAAGAATATGGTTAAAATTTGAAAAAATATAAGGATGTGCTTATCCCATTGTTTTCACCATTATAAGGAATTAGAAGGATTCCTAGTAAATCAGAGGAGGAACTTAAAGGAAGTACTGAAGAGTAACCATGTTATTAGGTTGAAAGATTGGCTAGAGAAAATGAAGAGTAAAGAAATGATACATGCAATACTGGGATAGGGTAAAATAAATTGGTATAATATACTTGAATTAGAAAACTAGACTAAGAATTGGTTGAAGAAAAATGGTAAATGCAGAGAATATACTAAATTCTATGCATTAATTCGACAGAAAGAAAAATAAGACAGTATGTGGATGAGAGGAATGATAAGTAAAATGTACAATATATTGCTAGAAGAGAATGATTGTGATGATCCTCTTTTTAAATCCTGGGAAATAGATTTAAAAAGAAATATTAGTGCTGAAGAATGAAATAATATGTGGGATAAGAGGATTTTAAAATTTACAGAACAAGAATTAAAGAAAAGTTTTATAAATTGTTTTGGAAATGGTATTTAACTGTAGTTAAATGAAATTACATGAATAATGCATATTCCAACATGTGTTGGAGATGCAACCAAGAAGTGGGTACATATTTCCATAGGTGGTGGAAGCGTAAATATATAAATGAGTTTTGGGAAAGGATCTTTAAAGAAATTGGTAAAATATTGAATTTAAATATTGAAGTTGATCCAGGATGAGCTTTATTGTCCTTTATTTCGATAACAGAAGGGACAATATACTAAAGAATTGAGGATAAATGTATTAACAACAGCAAGATTAATAATAGCAGGGAAATAGAAAAAAGGTGAATATCATATAGTTGACTGGTATAAAGAAGTCTGAAATATAGCTATTAATGATAATTTAACTTGTGATATTAATGGAAAAAAGTTTGGGAAGTGAAAACAAATTTGAAAATATTTGGAGACCTTTTATTGAATATATTTTAATAAAAGGAAAAGTGTTGTGACCCACTCCAAGACTCAGTGCAGTACTGGAAGTGAAGTGGGACAATCTGAATGAATTAATGACCTTACACTAAGTATCTAGGGTTGTTGGTCCTGGTGGAGGTAGCCTTGATATTAATATATTGTTTAAATGTGTTAATCAGGAATTTTAGCTCTTAATTTGAAAAATATTTTTAAAAATTAAAAAATATTTTGGGGAGTTTACTCCCTTTACTTTTTTTTTAATTGTACTTGTTATAGGCTATGATGCCATTCATATCACCAATTATCAAAATGTCTCCTTCTTGGAAATCCAATATCAATAGAAACAAATTTTCATGACACCTTTCTTTTGCATCATTTGGAGAATATTTCATGGACAATATCCTACCATAAAGAATGAAAATGGTGAAAGAACACAACCATCCTTCTTATCATTCTGAAGCTTCAGTCATGGTCAGGTCTCACCATCCATACGTCTTAGTCTTTTAAGACAAGATATCAGACATTTTTATAGCTGTTAAAGTCTTATAGGAGTTCAGATAAAATCCTGCTAATCATCAAGAAACTGTCTGTTTCAAAGTCCTTTCCAAATATGCAAACAATAAATCCTAAGTGGCTAAACTGAAATAATTTTCCTTTCGCTAAAAAACTGAAATAAAAACTAGAGGAAAAGAAAGAAAGATGAAAAACCAAAGGGTCTACTTTGTAATATGTTTCAGTTTACCTTGTATGGCCACCTCATTGTAATCAGAGCAATTGATTGGAAGTCTTCAAGCTCACCTGTCATTTGAAGAGGTAGAAACACTCTCAAAGGCGATGTATAAGCATCTAAAAAGATAAGGTACAAAGCAGCACAGGGTGTTTCCAGAGAGTCACCATTCCTCAGAAGAAAAGGGAAATCACGTTTGGGTGGCTTCATTTCACCTCCCCCTGAGAATGTTTGAAATGGAGGGAGGAAGGATACACAGCAAGTTCACATCTGGCATATGATGTGAACATTTCTCTTTTAAAAGAACAAAAACATGTTTTCTTTGAGAAATGTTTGCGAATACCTGGCTTAATGAGTGCATTTGGGAAAATCCTATTTTAATGCAAATTAGAACATTGATATATTCTTATAAAAAGTTACAATACACTTTTAAAAAAATGCATATCCTACATTGCTTACTTGTTCAAAGTAGCTAAAAACATGTCAATGATAGGAGCGCACTGACATGTGATTTGGGGAGAATTTAGGTAAAGGTGAAATGTAGTGTTCCCAACCCCAAATGGAAATGGTTTGCTCAAGTCATTCATATGGGATGGTGAAAACCGACATGTGCTCCCTTTTTCCAATCCCTTTGCATGCAGGAGGGAAGCATGCATGCAGTTTCCTTCCATGACACTGTCGGATAATTTCAAGTTTACCAGTGTCAGGGAGCAAATTTATGGAAAAGCATCTCCCGGAGAGGTGGGAACTTACAACAAGATTGCAAAACTGGAAGAATTCCAGTGAATAATTTTCATGATTCCTCTTCTCCTCCCTGCAACCCCACCCAATCACTTAGGCACAGCCGCTATCTCTGTGTACTGAGAGCTGCAATCCTGGTTCGAGGAAGAAGGTCAAGGAAGGAGAGCCATTTTGCTGCTATGATTGCATCCCATGTCCCAAAGGGAAGGTTTCAGGTGAGAAGGGTAGGTGTCTACCTATTCCAAGCATATTTGATAAGATCAAGAACATTTATGTAAAAGAGGTTTCTTCAGGGATTGAAGTGTAACTGAATGTGGGCAGGTGGGGCCAGGTGGAAGGTTTGAATAGTGGGGGAGGAAGTTGTTGTGTGTGACATGTGTGTGATTGTTTTCCCCTGTTGTTTCAAATGACCCACCTGCATTGGATTCTCATAGTTGAGGATGGGTGGATCATTTTGGAACTTGCCTTTTAGTGCTGCACAGGTTCTTTGGTTGATGCTACAACAACATAATTCTTGAGTAATGAATACAAAGGAACTCTGGACACAGTCAGTACATCTCTGCAATCAGAGGTCTAATATGCCATTTCTCTGTTTGGAAAGCTGGAACTTGTTTTCATGCTGTAACCTTCTATGAAGTCCAGCATCTTTCAGGGAATTATGTCCAGGGACAATTTCCATTCAGTTCAGTAATGCATGCTGCAAAGTGAAGAACAAAGCATTCTCTGCCCACATATCATTTGCTAAACCAATCAGGTTTTCTCATGCTTATGGCTGAAAACAAAATGGAAGCTTCTGACAGGCAATCAAACCTCTTTAACTTTTGTGCTCTGTATTACCTCCTTTGGCATTCTCAGTATTGCGGTGGCTAGCCATGAATGATATTAGGCTGGATCCTTTCTGGCAGGGGCAGGACTCCGAGAGTCCCCAAAGCCCAAAGAGGGGATCCTCATAAGGAAGTCTGGGGTGGAGTTTAAAGGCACCTCACTTACGCAGGAGCTGGAGGGCTTTCTTCATTGTAGATGGCAGGATGGGCCACAGAGAGATCAATGCTGTGACAGTCTTAATTTCCTGTCAGAAACTTGGTGACCCAGCATGTGAGTTGCAGTGGGGAATCAGGCAGGGTGTGGACTGTGATGCCTTCTTTGTCCAAATCAGCCAATTCATTGTTATCACTGTTTATTAAACATGTATTTGTCATGTTCATACTTCAAAAACAAATCCAAATAGGTGAATATTTCCATCCATTCACGTTGAGAGCACTGAGTGTTTCGCTAGTCTAGCTCTGCAATCACTTTGGATTCAGCCCAATCAGAGTTGAACTTAGACTCCCAAACCCTCTCCCAAGAAAGGCACTTCACCTGCAATGGCTGTATGACCGAACGTTATACATTCTCCTGCTAGAAACGGTCCTCCTCCTGCTAGAAACAGCTCTAGAATGCAGTCCGTGCAGATGGGGGAGAATTTCTTTTGAATTGGTGACTAGAGTGCTACTGCAACTAGAAAACAATGCACCTGAGTTGATGTGACCTGTTGGTGAGATGTGTAGAATTCATGAAAGCATGTGCATCTTCATTTTTCTTCAGATATGCATTACTGTCATTCATGTGAAGATGGAAAGTACCCAAGCAATCTCCAGAATTACTGTATTCCCAAGTCTGTAAACTTCTTCTCTTATGAAGAACCTCTCGGCATCACTTTGACCAGTTTTGCTCTTCTCTTCTGCTTGATCACAGCTCTGGTGCTCGGAATATTTCTGAAGCATCATGAGACACCCATCGTCAAGGCCAACAACCGGCACCTCACCTACTTTCTCCTCACCTCCCTGATGCTCTGCTTCCTCTGTGCACTGCTCTTCATCGGGCAGCCACACAGGGTGACATGCCTCCTCCGACAAGCTGCTTTTGGCATCATCTTCTCCGTGGCTGTTTCCTGCATGCTGACCAAGACGGTCATGGTGATCTTGGCTTTCAGAGCCACCAAACCCGGAAGCAAGATGAGGAAGTGGATGGGGAAGGGACTGGCCAACACACTCCTTCTTTCCTGCTGCCTCATTCAGGCTGGGATCTGTATTACCTGGCTGGCAACTGCTTCTCCTTTTCCAGATATTGACATGCATTCAGTGGCTGAGGAAATCATTCTGGAGTGTAACGAGGGATCAGTAACGATGTTTTCCTGTGTCCTGGGCTACGTGGGCTTCCTGGCTAGTGTCAGCTTTGTGGTGGCTTTTCTTGCCCGGAAGCTCCCGGACAGTTTCAATGAGGCCAAGTTCATCACGTTCAGCATGTTGGTCTTTTGCAGTGTGTGGTTATCCTTTGTGCCTTCCTACCTGAGCACCAAAGGAAAGTACTTGGTGACTGTGGAGATCTTTTCCATCTTAGCCTCCAGTTCTGGATTGCTTATTTGCATCTTCTTCCCCAAGTGTTACATCATGTTGCTGAGACCAGAGTTGAACAAGAAGGAGCATCTAATAAGGAGAACAGCTTGAAAAATTTAGGTGTTTGCATATCTTCCTGCAGTTTGTTATCCATCTGTGTGGCTTTGCATTGTTTAGTGTTTTCCATCAAAGTACAGATTAGCGGAAACAATTTATCTTTAGTATTTCTTGTCCTGCTCCCTAAAGTTTCCCAGATCATTCTCAGTTTAGGCAAAGCTTCACTCAAATGTGTGGCCCGACCATGTTTGGAATATTATGCATGTTGACTGAAAAGAGTCCCTCAAATGCAAATAATGAATTTCCCAGAAGAGCTCCATACAGGAAGGTCAATTGATTCTGTATTTACATGGTCTTTGAGCAAAGCTGATTGATTCTGAAAGCAAAACAAAACTAGTGCATCTGAAGTCCTTCAGCACTGGGCATACATGGTTAGACTCCTGCAGCATATTTGAGAGGTGAGCAATTTGAGAGGTTCTAATTCTAAATGAGATTTCATTTTTTCCAGAAAGAGGACAGGACAATGAAGTCCTGTGGCATTTCTTTCAGAAAGGTTTCTATATGCCGAGCTCATAAAAGTTCTCCAAACATTTTCAAATTTATTTTCACTAAACAAACCATTTTTCCATTAATATCACATTAACTTATCATCAATCACTATATTCCAGGCCTCATTATACCAGTCCACTATATGATATTCACCTTTTGTTTTCCAATTCCCTACTGTTATTAATTTTACTGCTGTTAATAAATTTTAGATGAAAACAAGAGGTAGAGCTGTGTGTCATCAGCATATTGATGACACTTCAGCCCATACCTGCGGAAGTAGTCACCAGCAATTTCATGTAAATCTTAAAGAGCATGGGAGACAAAATGGAACCCAGTGGAACTCCATGGAACAAATGCCAAGGCACAGAGTGACAGTCCCCCAGCTCTGCCACCTGGACACAGACAGGAGTGAAACCACCACAAAGCGGTGCCCCCAACTCAACTAACCTCTCCAGAAGAATACCATGGTCAAATGAAAGCCTATCAGCAGCCAGTGAGTCATTCTTACCCTCCTAGAATAATCCACAAATGATTTCATAGCTTTATAGTTTTAAAGCTCAATTAGGAGTTAGAAGAAAAGTGGCTGGTCAGGCATGAGGTATGTTTTGGGATGCAGTAACAAGTTTAAAAAATAAATTCCAGAATTTGGGTTGTCCTTAATAGGAGTACTGCTCCCAGCTTACACTGGGACCACACCACAGCAGAAGAAGAGAATTACATTCCCCCCACCCCCAATACATATCTGTTAATGTGCTTCCAGGAATTTAGTGCAAGTGGAAAGATTCCATTGAAAGATGTGAGGAGAATATTGCGAAGAGCATAGCTGCATGGGAAAGAATGACCTTCCCTACCTCTAAACTGTGGTCCCATTCCAATTCTGCTTGGAGTACACTGACTCCAGAGCAAAACCAAAAACTCCAGTGGGATTCATACTGAAGGCTGTGTGCAGCCTCATAGTTCTGCATTCATTTCTGATGCTTTCCTCCCAATTCATGTGTAAAACTAATACAAATATTGTGCTCGGCATCAAATGTGAAGAACAACACCTGTTTTCAACTTCACTGTCCCTGATGTGAAATTGCTATACTCTCCTTTAATTGTCTAAAGAGCAGTTTGTTACTACTCAACATCCCTGCAGATTTCTAATGAACAAAGCAACAATACTAGGCTGTGAAGGACAGTGGTAATTCATACAGGGATAAATAATGACAGCCACTGCTCTGAGGGAGCCTGCATTTGTAATCTCAGTGCTCTATGTGGGAATGAGTGGATTTGGATGAAGCACAAAGCATTGCCTTCTACTCAGCATGTGGGAATTAGGAGAGGTATTGCTAAGCTTGCTTCTTCAAATAGGAGGCAAGACTGATGCTGCAAA